CACACAAATAGAGCTTTCTTTTGGTGGTATTTGATCACCTTTGTGGTTTTTATTTTTTGTGCTATAAAAAAAAAGACTGAAAATTTGGAAAAAAACTATATTTTTCAATTTTGGATATAAAAAATATCCAATAAACTCAAAGTTAGTCATAAATTTAGGCTAAAATATATTCTGCTACATCTCTTTGTAAAAAAAAAAAAATCTCAATACATGTATTAATTGGTTTGTGTGAACGTTATAGCGCCTACAAACTATGGTATATATATTGTAATTTACGTAGCTTTTACTTTCTGACTGCCTATCACAGTTTTTGGGGTGCTAAAATGCCAGGGCAGTACAACCTCCCCCCCAAATGACCCCTTTTTGGAAAGTAGACAACCCAAGGATTTTTCAGAGAGGCATATTGAGTCCATGGAACATTTTATTTTTTTGCCACAAATTTTTTGAATATGACATTTTCTCTTTTTTACACAAAGTTGTCACTTTAATGATATATTGCTCATGCATGCCATACGTATATGTGGAATAACACCCCAAAACAACACTCTCCTACTTCTTTCGAGTATGGGGTTACCAGCCTAGCTACATACAAGCCCCCAAAACCCAATGACCATCTACAGGCTTTCAAAGGGCATATTTCCTCATATCACTTCCCCACTACCTATCAGTTTCGGAGGCTCTAAAATGCCAGGATAGTACAAACACCCCTCCCACCCCCATGACCCCTTTTTGGAAAGTAGACACCCCAAGGATTTTGTTAAGAGGGATGATGAGTATTTTACAGATATAATTTTTCCCACATGGTTTGGAAAATGAAAAAAATAAAAAATTAATTTTTTGTTTTCTTTTTTTTTTCCAAAAACATGTGGCAACACATGAGATCTGCACAATACTCACCATGCCTCTTAGCAAATACCTTGGAGTGTCTACTTTCCAAAAAGGGGTCATTTGGAGGTGTTGCTTCTACTATCCTGGCATTTCAGGTCCAACATTAGAAGCTTATGCCACACATCACCCACTTGTGAAGACCAAGCCTTTTCTGATACTTTTTGTTCACATGAAAAAACAGTTTTTGTGCTAGAAAATTACTTTGAACCCCCAAACATTATATATTTTTTTAAAGCAGAGGCCCTAGAGAAGGAAATGGTGGCTGTTGAAATTTTTTATGTCACACAGTATTTGCGCAGCGATTTTTCAAACGCAAATCTTTTGGGAAAACTACACTTTTTAGAATCTTAATGCACAAAAACACAGTATATTGCCCAATTGTTTGATTAAATATAAAAGATGATGTTACGCGGAGTAAATAAACACCAAACATAACATGCTTTAAAATTGTGCATGCCTGTGCAATGACAACAAAGTACATACATTTTTATTACTGAATTACTGCCCTCGATCTGAGGTTCATGGCAATACCTCACATGCATGGTGTAACTGCTATTTACATACTGGCATGGGATCAACGCTTGCGCACGCAAGTGCACGCGTGCAGGGGAGGCGAAGGTGCTTTTTTTTTTTACTTATTTTTTTTTAAATTATTTTTACACTGTCCCTTTAATTTTTTTGTTAATCACTTTTAATTCCATCACAATGCAAATATCCCCTATAACTTCAATGGGCATTGTCATAGATTCTTTTTTGAGAAATCTGGGGTCTATCAGACTCTAGATATCTCCTCTGCCCTTACATTATCTAATTATTTATTATTTATTTTTTACATTATCTATCTGTTTATATCTTGCGAAACTGAAGTGATTAAAATGCTCGTAGCTTCCGATTTCTTAGACTATAGAGATGATTGGAGCCATTCTGGTCTCTGATCAGCTCTATCAGACAGTGGAACAGCCAGCTGCATTCTCGGATTCCCCTGTGGGACAGGAGAGCCCAAGAAAGCTGTGGAAGGCTGCAGAAAGGAGGGTGGGATGTCACTTCCTGATGCTTATAAAAACAATTCAGCACTGGCTGAGTGACGGGGTGATCAAAGGGTTAATAGGGGCAATCAAAGGGTTAAATGTGCTAATCTAACGTGTGTGTGTGTGTGTAAAATGTAGTGCTTTTACTCGGTGCCATGTTCTCTCTTATATCCCTGGACCGATGGGTGGGGAGGCAGCGGGGGGGGGGGGGGGGGTGGGCACATGTGCGTTCATACCCCAGAATAGGAAGTGACGCAAGATTACGTTGCCTTGTCAAGAGCTGCTGCTCACCCTCAAAATGCAGGTAAGCGGTTGGCAAGTAGTTATAAGAAAAAAACTCTTAAAAAAAAAAAGTTCTCAATATGGTATGTATTTTTTATTTTTATTTTTTTTTCATTATTCTTTTAAATATTTTTATCAGAATAGTACAGTGTTACCATAGTAACATTGCACTACTGTGTGTGTGTGTGTGTGGTGATCAGGAATTTTTTTTTTTTTTTTTTTACACTTTACTTTGCAGGAGAAATAAAGATAATTTCTCCTACAATGCAAAGCTTGCTGTCATGAACCTAACTCATTCATGAACAATCATGAATGAGTTAAGTTTTGACAGCTCAAGATAGTGATCTGTGATTGGCTGGAGCTGGTCACATAGTACAGGGTGTGTGTGATTGGCCCCATGTATCATGTGACAGCTGTGGGCCAATCACAGCTCACTAGGAAGAGGAGCAAAGCTGTTATTAATGAGATTGATTCATAACGGCTTTGCTTACATTGTGATCATGTGATCACATAGTGATCACATGATCACCTGGTCCTGTTCACCAGGATCTTCATTCTGCTGTGTCCGCTGGACACAGCAGTCGTGAGGGGGGGAGTGGTGCACGCCCGCTCGGGCACGCAGCGCCCCCCTGTGTTAGCACAACCAGAGCGACGTACAGGTACTTCGCTTTGCCTGTAGCTGCTGCCCTGCGGCAGTACATTGCAGGCGGGCAGGCGAGAAGCAGTTAAATAAAGGAATCTCAGCCTTTCTATGCCACAATATAAAGCCATGTATCATGCTCTCAAAGCTATATCTCCCCAGAAGCGAAGGGGGTGTAAACCTCCCTAACATCAGGGTTTACAACCTGGCTTGTTGTCACGTACCTTGGTTGGAAGTCAAGTTGATGAGACGGCTACCCTTGCGGCTGTGGTGCTAGCACAGAGGAAACAGAGGTAATAGAAGCAAGGGGGCTGGTAGCTTGGCAGCAGGTCACTACCACAGTCAGGGACATAGTCAAGGTGAACCAGGGCCATACATCATGAGACAGCAGCATAGTCAGGAAGCAGGCCGAGGCCAGCAACAGGGAAGCAGGCAAAGCGAGGTCCAGTAGCAGGCTAAGGTTAGTGCCGGGGAAGCAGGCAGAGAATAGTCAGAGGCAAGCCAAGGTCAGTATTCAGAATCCACAGAGCAAGGTCAGGAACAACCTGGGTCAGCAACAATAGATCAGTCAGCAAAAGCAGTAACATGGGGAAGTTGAAAATCATCCAGCAGTTAGCACAAAGCAGGATTTCCTTTAAATGGGCAGGTTGGCATCAATGCATGCGGACGTGCATGCTGGCGCACACAAATGCACCTACATGTCAGTACAGCTGGATACTAGCCCAAGCTCATCTGTGTGCTGGTCCATGTGCACAAGCTTTAGCTGCACAGGAATGAGCATTAGATGCTTGGACATGAGCATCAGCTGCACGAGGATGAGCATTAGCTGTATTAGTTTCCTGACACTTGCCTTTTATGTTCGGGGCTGGACCAGGGGCAGACTAACAACTCATGGGGCCCCCAGACAATTGGGGATCATGGGGCCCCTGTGTCCTTGCCCACACTCAAAAGACACCCGAAAAAGCCTATAAAAGGTACCAGGAGCATTTTATGGGGCCCCCTACTGACCCCAGGCCCTCAGGCAGTGCCCTAGTGCTCAAATGGTCAGTCCACGCCTGGGCTGGACTAGTTATTTCAATCCTCTCGCTACTCTAACTCTTCACTAGTCAGTAATGGTTGCCTTTTCCTTATATACTATCCTGCACAGCAAACAGCAACTCCTACCTCTTAACCTCCAACACAATTTTCTATTAATGGACACAAATGATTGTTTGGAGGGAAACGCATCAAAACCTGGGTATTTCACCATTTATATCTAGGTACTTAACGATCCATTCAACAATAATCCCATGTTCCTCCACAGGGGCGGACTGACCATTTAGGCACTCGGGCACTGCCCAAGGGCCCGGGTTAGTAGGGGGCCCCATGAGATGCCCCTGGTACCTTTCATAGGCTTTTTTGGGTGTGGTTTGAGTGTGGGCGAGGACACAGGGACCCCATGATCCCCTATTGCCCGGGGGCCCCATGAGTTGTCAGTCCGCCCCTGTTCCTCCAAAGCATGCAATATGAGGCCTTTAAGACCTGGAACTCCAAAGGACTGCTACATATACCTTCACTTTTTGAGACGGATTCAGGAAGTCTTAAAACCTTTTCAGAGCTAGCTGCTACATTTAACCACTAGCCTACAGGGCACTTATACCCCCTTCCTGTCCAGGCCAATTTCCAGCTTTCAGCGCTGTCACACTTTGAATGATAATTGCGCGGATCATGCAACACTGTACCCATATGAACTTTTTATCATTTTTTTGAGACTGATAGAGCTTTATTTTGGTGGTATTTAATCACCTCTGGGATTTTTATTTTTTCTTAAACAAACCAAAAAACCACAGAAAATTTTGAAAAAAAATGTTTTTTCTTAGTTTTTGTTATACAATTTTGTAAATAAGTGATTTTTTCTCCTTCACTGATGTGCGCTAATGAGGCTGCAGTGATGGGCACTGATAGGCTGCACTGATGGACACTGATAGGTGGCACTGATGGGCACTGATGAGGAGGCACTGGTAGGTTGCACTGATGGGCATTGACAGGCATCACTGATGGGCACTGAAAGGCAGCACTGATACATGACACTGATATATGGCACTGATAGGTGGCACTGATAGGCAGCACTGACTGGCACTGATAGGCGGCACTGACTGGCACTGTTAGACAGCACTGACTGGCATGATATGCGGCACTGACTGGCACTGATAGGCGGCACTGATGCACACTGATAGGCGACACTGACTGGCACTGATAGGTGGCACTGATTGGCAGCACTGATAGGTGGCACTAATTGGCATTGATAGGTGGCACCGACTGGCACTGATTGGTGACATTGAAAGACAGCTCAGATGGGCACTGATATGTGGCATTGATGTGGCACTGATGGGCACTGGCATGTGGCACTGATGAGCACTGACTGCTGGCACTGATGGACACTGACAGGTGGCACTTCTGGGGCCACACTGATCATCAGGGCACACTGATCATCAGTGCCCTGATGATCAGTGTACATGTCCTCTCCGTGGAATGCCGATTACCGGCTCTCCTCTCGAGCTGTCAGCGTGACAGCTCGACAGGAGAGAAATGCCGATAACCGGCATTTCCGTGTTTTTACATGTGATCAGCTGTGATTGGACACAGCTGATCACATGACCGAGCCGACATCTTCGGCTCTTTCCGTGATCCGCTGTGTCCGAGGGACACAGCGCACCGGCGATCGCCGCGCTGCACGCTCCCTGAGCCGCGCATGCGCGGTGAGAATGGAAGGACGTCATATGACATCCTATCAGAACGAGAGAACCACCTTGCGCCTGTCATTGTACTATATGGCGGGCGGAAGGTGGTTAAACTGCCCAACTACCATAACTTCTACCATTTTCAATTTGTGAGTTACGTCAAAGAGCCTTTTGTATGAATAAAACCAAAATATTCCAGACCTTGATTGACCGCTTCAAAATCATACTTACTTTGTTTCAGATATCTATCATTCCCTCGGTGTAAGTCATCCTCAAACTGGGGAAAGGACTTCTTAGATGATACATATATGTTTTACCGCTGCTCAAGGTAGAGAGACTCCTAATCTCCAAGCACAATTCCTCCTGTAGGTGCTAGCCCCGCTCATGTGCTGCATAGATGAGAGCAAAGGACGTCCGATTGACTGCACTCCAAACAATCCACTTTACTGAACCAAAATAAAAGCAATACAGACAATGGAAATACAGTGGGGGACTGGCAGGTAAAACCAATTTGCTATGAATAAGCGCTGTCTTTAGCATGAAACAGTTTTACCTGCCAGTCCCCCACTGTATTTTTCCACTGTCTGTATTGGCTTTATCTTGGTTCAATAAAGTGGATTGTTTGGAGTACAGCTGATCGGACATCCTTTGTTCTCATTCTTAGAATTTGCATTCACAGAAAAATTGCTATCTGGCTATATTATTTAGGAGAATAGTGTGGAAGAACTGCATATGTAGAACATCAGACAATGTTCTCCTCCCCTTCCCCATGCTCCAGCAGTGGACTGTCTATCAATATCCTCAATTCCAATGCAGTCTCACTGGAAAAGTCTTTTTTTGATAGTGTGGAGTGCTGTTTTCAACTTTTGCACTCCTGTCCTTCTCTTGCTTATGTGGAAACGATGTGGTGGTCTTCTTCTAGGAAATGAATGTAAGAAGCTTATATTGCATCACTGTGGCAAAGGGCTCTTAACCTCACACAGCCATGAATTTGCAGTTGACTTTTAGTTAGGTGTTATCTCTGATGAGATTTTCAGCTGCTGAAGATGAGGATCAATATTTCTATGTTTTCACAATTGTGTGATCTAAAAAAGAATAGAAAGACAAATGGTTGGCATATAGCAGATTCATATAATTTTATGTTATTTTATTAACACATCGATTTGTTGGAATAGTGATTTATTGTGAAGTTTTAGAACCAGAAAACTCCTCTATTAAGGCAAGTTCTTCATTGGAGTTTTTCTGTATTGTGTGTTTATTCATTGTAGTTTTGGCTTCTTGTTTACATTTCTTTGTGTAACTAAATATTCTAATGTGAGTATATTTGCATTTCTAGCTGGCATTCCTTGTCTGGCTGAGGTGGTACTCCCTAAACGATGAAGGTTAACACTGCTGGTTAGATTTTCTGTACTGCCTTCTATCAGAGAAAACATAGAAAACGGACAGGGAACCACCTCTCAGGGGTGCTATAATTAGTAAGACAGTCGATACTGTGAGCCTCTGGATAGCTGATGACTGACGCGTTTCAAGGTTGTACCTCTTCCTCAGACCAGTGTGTCACACTGGCTCTGAGGAAGAGGTACAACCTCGAAACGCATCAGTAATAAGCTATCCAGAGGCTCACAGTCCCCCACCAGACCACCCACAGGGGTTCCTGAACCACTCTACATCCCTTGCAACATGCTTCCCATTTTAATTTGATTTTAAATTTATTTGTATTTTACTATTTATTAATAAATCCCATTTTGTAAGGTAATACACTAGGCCTGTGCGCCCTTTCTTTGTTTTCTATAGGCAGGTGTAAGAGGATTTAACAACTAAAAATATCCCTCCCCTAGGCAGGAGGCCCAGGGAGGAACTGACTTCCCAAGGTCACTCTCTAAATGTTTATATTCTCTGTCAGCTTTTACCACCTTTTACCACTGGCAATAACCCTCTATTTGTTGTCCAGGTGGAGCTAAATATTCCGAGCTCTGATTAGTGCAGCTTTCATACTATTGCTAGAGGCACCAGCATCAGGCTGAAACGAACAGTAATCAGAGCCTAGGAGAAACCTAAGAAAGCTGCAGCTTAGCGCCACTACATTTAAGTAGACACACTTGTTTACAGCAGAATGGCTACACCTTTAAAGTCAGCCAGGGGTGTTTTCTAAGAGCAGTGAGCCTGTGTGCAAGAGCACAAGGGTGGCCTGTGATTGAAAAAATGTGGCACCAAGGTAAAAATGGGCATGTTTCTAACTGGGATAAATATTCGGTGTGACTTATAGAGATGTGGTTACATAGGGGTTTATTTACTAAAGCTGGAGAGTCCAAAATCAGACTCCCTTCTGCATAGAAACCAATCAGCTTCCAGGTTTCATTGCCAAAGCTTCATTGAACAAGCTGAGGTTAGAAGCTGATTGGTTTCTATGCAGAAGGGAGTCTGATTTTGGACTCTCCAGCTTTAGTAAATAAACCCCATAGAGTCTGAGTTGACTTTGTGTACATAGTATAGAATGAGACAGTGTTGAATAGGGAATGTACAGCACAGTATCTGTGGAAGTAACATTAAAGGGGCTTCATGAACTCTGTCATTACTGACCCCTGAATTCTGCACCACTTACTACTGACACATGAACTCTGTAAGATTAAAGGAAACAGAGGGGCACCAGACTAAGTACAGCATTGATAGTACAATTTATTAAAAACATACAATTTGCAACTCTCTAGAAGATGAAAAGAGACAGGCATATCAGTAAATCGTCCGGATGTCTCCCCTATAGTTTCTGACTTCCAGGCGGTCCATGCATGGCTGGACTGTGGAGCTAGATAATCCAAATGCAGCCACCCAGCAATGAATGCTAGATGGTGCCGGACCACAAGAAGAATGATGACATAAATGGGCGTTAACGCGTTTTGAAGCTTCCGCTTCTTCTTCAGACCTGCTTGACCAACAGGAATGGCCGTCTTAAATGAATGGAATAGGGCGGGACAAGTGAAGGAATATGATTTCAAAGGATGTGGCCATACTTAAAGGGGAACGTTGTTCAATAATGAACTAATATATATTGCATAATATGCCATAGATATATGAAACTCAAATTACATAAAAAGAAAACAACAGTGGCATGTAAATATTCTTTAAACATGTGATAATCCATATACAAACGCATATGAAAGGGCACCTACATACAGGTACAATTAAAACCTTTAAGCAAAGTGAAAATCAGAGATGTAAACAATATTAAACCTGCGTAAGATAAGCAAAAAAAAAAACGAAAACAAACTTAAAAGGGTATATCTTTATGAATGCTCGTACAGACATGTAATCATATGGGCTCTCATTTTTATGATTGGCGCATGTATGTATATAAAATAATTGTCATGTTTAAATATATATTATTCATTACATTTAAAAGATAAAAGCCTACAAAATGGGGTAGAACGCCCATTGTGGAATACATAGATATATGTATGCATATACACACATATAGTGGGGAAAATAACTATTTGATCCCCTGCAGATTTTGTAAGTTTGCCCATTTACAAAGAAATGAAGGGCCTATAATCTGTCCACAGAATATCATTCTTTTTCACCATCATGGGCAAGACCAAAGGACTGTAAAAGGGCATCAGGGACAAGATTGTAGACCTGCACAAGGCTGGAATCTGCTACAAGACCATCAGCAAGAAGCTTGGTGAGAAGGAGACAACTGTTGGAGCGATTATTCGAAAATGGAAGAAATACAAAATAACCATCAATCGCCCTCGGTCTGGAGCTCCATGCAAGATTTCATGGGGTAAGGATGATCATGAGAAAAGTGAGGGATCAGCCCAGAACTACATGGGAGGAGCTTATGAATGATCTTAAGGCAGTTGGGACCACAGTTACCAAACAAACCATTGGTAACACAATACGCCACCATGGATTGAAATCCTGCAGCATCCGTAAGGTCCCCCTCCTCAAGAAGACGCATGTACAGACCCATCTGAAGTTTGTCAACGAACATCTAAATGATTCAGGGAAGGATTGGGAGAAAGAGCTGTGGTCAGATGAGACCAAAATTGAGCTCTTTGGTATTAACTCGACTCACTGTGCTGGAAGGAAGAAAAATGCGGACTATCACTCTAAGAACACCATCCCTACAGTTGAGCACAGAGGGGGAAACATTATGCTTTGGGGCTGTTTCTCTGCTAAAGGTACAGGCAGACTTTGCCATATTGCGGAGCCAATGGACAAGGCCATGTATTGTAAAATTTTGGATAAGAACCTTCTTCCCTCAGCCAGAACTCTGAAGATGGGTCGTTGATGGGTCTTCCTGTGTGACAATGACCCAATACATACCGCCAAATCAACAAAGGAGTGGCTCAAGAAGAAGCACATTAAGGTCATGGAGTGGCCTAGCTAGTCTCCAGACCTTAATCCTATAGATAATTTATGGAGGGAGCTGAAACTTTGAGTTGCCAAGCAACAGCCAAGAAACCTTAAAGATTTAGAGAAGATCTGTAAAGAAGGGTGGGCCAAAATCCCTCCTGAAATGTGTGCAAACCTGGTAACCAACTAAAAGACATGTCTTACCTCTGTGTTTGACAACAATGGTTTCTCCACCAAGTTCTAAGTCATGTTTTGCTTGTGGATCAAATAAATATTTTACTCACTGAACTGCAACTCAATTTATAAAATTTTTATCATTTGTTTTTGTGGATTTTTGTTTTAGATTCTGTCTCTATCATTTAAAATACACCTATGATAAAAATTATAGACCCTCCATTTCTTTGTAAGTGGGAAAACTAATCTGCAGGTGATCAAATAATTATTTTCTCCACTGTATATAAGAGGTTGTGTTCCCTTATTTTACTTTACTTACCCACCCGGATGAAGTTGGGGGAAACATGGTATCTTGGAACCTAAAAATGTGTTAAGCAGAGGTAAGAGGTGCATATGCATATATGCATGCACATCTACCAGAACCATGGAAGGGGTGGGTGGAAGGAAGGAAGGGGTGGGTGGTGGAAG